ATTCCTACCCAGTTCCTAAAAATTTATGAGATAACTAGTAAAATGGGTAAATCACAATCGAAGCTAACACTGCATCTCCCGATATAGCCCCTTTATCTATCACTAATCAAGAATAACAATGATCAGCCATTTGCCAATGGCTTGTCAAAATTTAAATAGGCTAAGTCAGCAGGCACTATCTTCCTTCAACAAGATGGCATATATTTTTCGGGTTCCCACACCAGCAACCCTATCACATTTCTATCGCTCTAGGATTGGAAATAGTGCTATAAAGCAATGTTCTTGCCCGTTCTTGCCCCAGACACAGACATTTATCATCTCCTTTCTGTGGTCCAGAATGTGGGTCTGATACTAGATATGTGACCTAGAATAAGTCATTTTACTTCTCAGAGCCTCATCTTCTCACCTATAAAACAGAAGGGAATTAGGCTAGTAAATCCCTAAGATCACATTCAGTACTAAACTCTATAATGATCCTTTTTACACAGTTCAGCACCTAGAATCAAATGAGGAAGGGAGGCATTTACTCAATGCTTGCTGATTCATATTTAAGAAATAAATTTTACCCTATGAATTTTCAGATGTTATTTTGTGCCTTTTTCTTATGTAGCATTGTATAAGCCTTAAAGTATGATACAAACATGAGGTATTTAAATCTTCAGGTTTTTCCACTTGGCACTGGCTAAAAATACAAATCAGTCAGTGAAATAGATTAGGTTCATGGTACAAGGAAGCTAAAGAATGTAGTAACCTAGTCTTTGATAAACTCAAAGACCCCAGTAACTAGGGAAAAGACTCATTAAACTAAGGGCATACCCATTACTTGGGAAGGGCTGAACAAATTATGGTATGTAAATATAATAGAATGTTATTGTCTTATAAGAAATTATGAAAGGAATAGATTCAGAGAAATCTGGGGGAAATTGCATAAACTGATGCAGAGTAAAGTGAGCAGGACCAGGAGAATGATTTATACAATAACAATATTATAAAGACAACTTTGAAAGACATAAAGACTCTGATCACTGCAATGACCAAATTGATTCCATGAACTATGCTACCCACTTTTTGATGGAGAAGTGATGAATTCAAGATGCTTAATGACACATACATTTTTAGACTTTTTTGCCTAATTATTCATTTTTGTTGCAAGGGTTTTGTTTTTCTTTTTCTTTTTTCCTTTTCATTTGGATGGATGAGAGACCAAATAAATGCTTGTTTAAAAAAACAGGGAAAAAAGAAAAATCCTCAGAGGTTTCTTTTTTAGAGAAAGAAAATAGATTTATCAAGTGATACTCTGCGTTAGGCAGGTTTCTTTTTGACCCTAGCTCTTTCTTCTCCAAATCCATGATACCATGATGCCATGCTGAGATTTCCTCCACCAGGACTCCAATAAACTTAGCACATTTTCTTTAGAAATGGGACTAGACCTGTGATTTCATTGGTATAAGGAACCCCCCACTTGGGGAAACATCCTATACTAGTGTCCATTGGCACTGGCATTGTAATCTATAGCTGTAGAGAGTTGCCTAGAGCACTAACAGGTTGAATGATTTGCCCAGGGACACCAAGCCAGTATATGCAAAGATAGGACTTGTTTCCCTTTTTTGGCCCATTTCCTCATTTATAAAATGATTGGGTGGGAGGGAAGGGGGAGAAGATGATCTCCTGGGTTCCTTCCAATTTTAAATGTATGATCTAATAGCTGTGGGTGAGGAAGGAGTAGGAATAGTTTAGGGAGTAGTGATCAAATAAACCATCCCATGAATAGGAAATACCATGAAAAAATCATGGAGGCCAGAAAGCAGGACATATAGGAAACAATTTATAGCACAGTTTGGCTGGAATAAAGATCATATGGGAATGCAGTTTGCAGCCAGGTATTTGGAAGACCAGACAAAGCTTTTCTCTACAGGCAAGAGGGGACCATTGAAAGGTTTTGAAAAGGGAGGTTGCCAGATCTATGTATGAGGAAAATTCAATTTGGCAGTGGTAAGGAACAAGAAAGTAGAGGCAGGACAACCTAGTGGGTTGCTATTGTAATGATCAGGATGAATGGTAATAAGAATCTGTACTAGGATGGTGATAGCAAGAATAGAGAGAAAGGAACAAATGGGAGCGACTTTATAGAATTGGAATGGCTAGAACCATGTAATTGATTAGATATAAGAAGTGAGGGAGTCATAAAATTGTATGTTGGACCTGGAAGGGACCTTAGAAGTCATATGTTCAATCCTCTCATTTTAAAGATGAGGAAACTGAGGCCCAGTGCCATTAAATTACTTGATCAAGGTTCACTAGGTAGTAAGTGGCAAAGCTGGGATTTGAAGGAAGAATCAAAGGTAATAAAATTATACATTGATGTCACTCTGTAAGGTTTTCAAAGCAATTGACATACATTATTATCTCCTTTGATCTTGACCAGTAGCTTGTAAGCTCTTTGTGGGCCTCTTTTTGTATCCCTAAGTGCTTAGCGCAGTGCCTGGCACAGAGAAGGTGCTTACCAAGTGTCTATTGATTGGCTGGTGACTCATCTTTGAGGTATATGCTACTACCACCATTTTACAGATGAGGAAAAGGAGTCTCCAGACTGACTTGCCTAGGGCCACACATTTGGTAACTACAGGGTTGAAGATTTGAACCCAAATCTTCTTGATTGCCAGTTTAACAGTCTATATGCTACATAACACTGTTTCTATATTGTTGGTCCTTCTTTTTAGAAGAGGACCATTAACATGATGTCTTAACTGAATTGGACTGAAGTGAGGCAAAGCTGCACAGTCTTCAGCTTCACTTTCTCTTCCAGAGTCGCAGTGGATGACCTTGGCATCTTTGATATCTGACCAAGCTCTAAGCACTCCATAGCTCCTGCTTCAGCCACCTTCATGATCCTTAGAACAAATTGTTCTCATCTGCTTCTTACACCAGAAGTCTCCATATGCTCGGGGTAGACATCCCCCTAACTCACTGACCGGGACAGAGTTGTTGGTTACCCTTCAATCTGGCTTAACCTGTCAGAGGAGATGGTTTTACTGGGTTGTGGCAGCTGCACATGCTATAGCTTCTTGGAGCCTCAGGTGAGAGTTGGGTGCATCAGATGGACACTAAAGGTGGTGGATAAGCAGCCCTGAAAAGGGCTTGGCAAGCCCTCACACCAGAGGTGTTACTCCTCCCTTAACATCCTATACAACCCATTTCTATATTAACATGGTTTCAAACATAGGAGTCTGACTGAATAATAATGCATTTAATAAAAAATTACAAAGTCAGAGGAAGAAGTAGATTTTTGACAAAAATTTAAGGTGACTCCAGGTAGATGTGGATTTAGAATTGAGAAGAGAGGTGAGGTTAAAGGTAAAGCTTTGGGAGTAGTTTGTATAAAGGTACATGACATTGTATAAGACTGCCAAGTAAAAGGATGTAGAAAGAGAAAAGAGAAGATGAATCAACCTTGAGGTTAGGTACTGTGAAGTTATAAGAAGCCTGCAAAGAACCCAAAGAAAGAGTTGTTAATAAAATAATAGCTAGCATTTATACCGTTCTTATTATGTTCTAGGCACGGTCTTAAGTACTTTAAAAATTTATCTTATTCAATCCTCACAAGAACCCTGAGAGGGGAAGCTAGGTGATGCAGTGGATAGAGCACTGGCCCGGGGGTCCGGAGGACCCAAGTTCAAATCCAGCCTCAGACACATAACACTTAACTAGCTGTGTGACTCTGGGCGAGTCACTTAACCCCATTGTCTATCAACAAAACCCCCCAAAAACCTGAGAACTAAATGTTATTATTATCCCTGTTTTACAGTTGAGAAACCTGAGATATACAAAGTTGAAGTGACTTGTCCAGGGTCACACAGATATTAAGTGTCTGAGGCTGGATTTGAATTCAGGTCTTCCTGACTCCAGATCCAATGCCACTGCAGCTACTTAACTGCCAAGATTTATACATGCATGATGAGGGTACAATTTCAGGAAGCCAAAGAACAGGGATCAAGGAGGGGATTGGTAGAGAACTAATCATATGCAAATACGAGCTCAATAAACACTTCCATTCATTCATTCACCCTACTCTAGTCTTCAGTTCTCTGGAAGGGATACAATTAAGGAATACACAAAAAAAGTGGGGATGATTTCAGGGCAATGGATTATAGCTTCCTCACTGTTTGTTGGTTTTTTGGAGAGACAATTGGGGTTAAGTGACTTGCCTAGATTCACACAGCTAGGAAGTGTTATGTGTCTGAGGCAGCATTTGAACTCAGGTGCTCCTGACTCCAAGGCCGGTGCTCTATCCACACTACACGTCTCCTTTTAGAGCACATGAAGATGTTACAAACCCAGTAAAGTTACTCTATAAATATTGGCTATCTAGTTGAAAGACCTTATTCTCAAAGTGTGTGTGTGTGTGTGTGTGTGTGTGTGTGTGTGTGTGTGTGTGCGTGTGTGTGTGTATTCCTTTTAAAGAAATACTGAGAGGCCACATTCTAAAGTAGTACTCCGGGAGTCTCAATCAGGAGACATTCTTGTGTGTCCCAGGAGCGGGGCAGTAGGAGCTTTGAGTGCACTTCGGTTCAGAATGGAGCTCAGTTTACCCTGTTCACCTCTAGGAAGGAAAGTTTGGGACTGAGGGAGGTAGGTGGGTGGGGAGTTAGGACCTGGGGAAGAGAGAGCGCACAGTGCTGATCCTGCTGCACCTCTACTCTCTTCTCCACCCCAAAAACCAAGAATTTCTGGGATGGGATAGGCAGTGACCCACCTCCTTTTTCTCCTCCCTTTCCAAGCTGGAGAGAGTAGGGCGGGGAAAAAAGTTTGTGACCTTCTAGTACCCTAGTACTGAGTTGGTGGGGGTGGAGAGAGAGGCGTGGATCTCCTCCTCCATCAATGTGCCCGAGGGTGTGGGTAAGAGGGGTGTCGGGATTGAAGGTTAGGGAAGGGAAGACGAGGAGTGGGAGTGGGGGGGGTGGCGAAGAGGGAGGAGAAAAGGCAGAAGGGAGTTGTCTGCCCTGCTCCCACTATTCGGTGCGGGGCTCGTCTCTCCGCTCATCTGGAAGTGTTTTCCATAGTGGCTCAGCCAGGCTATAGCAAGGGGGGAGGAGGCGGTACGATGTGGGGGGAAAGGAGTTACCAGTGGTTAGCGTTGCCACCACTGCTGCCACCACTGCTGCCCCTGCTGCTGCTGCTATTGCAGGGGAGAGGTTATAGCTGCCTCGACGAACCCTTAACGCTGACTGAGGAGCGGGTCAGCCAGTTGCTGGGTAAGTGCAGCCAAATAGCCCAGGGTGGTAATCGGATACCTCGCAATGTCGCTGGGGGTGTTGAAGAGGAGAGGAGAAATGTGGGGGGAGGGAGTGTGGTAAGGAAGGGCATTGGCCACTCTGTTTTGGGTGAAAGAAAGGAAAAAAAACTTTTCCCTCTTGCAACTGGAACTCAGATTGGGCGGAGGGTTGGGTAGACGCACACACTGATGGGCCCTCATCCTTCTCCGCCCCGCCCCTTCTCTCCAAGCCACAGAGGGGGCACTTGGCTCGTTTAGGGAAACGTTTGCTTAGCAGCTTCTAAGGACTGGGGCTGATCTGATCTTGGATGAAATCAGAGCTTCACTTTTGGATGTGAGTTTTGGGCGAAGCAATTGGGGAACAAAATCAGAGTTTGGGTTTGGAGAAAGAGGGATCTGTATTCTGTTTTGGGGAAAAGAAAAAAAATGAAGTCGTGACTGTAGTTTTATGGTAGAATCTTATCTGTCCCACTTGTGCCACCAATTCGATGTGTGACCTTAGGCAAGTCACGTATCTGTGCCTCTTTTTTTTGTCATCTGTAAAATGAGGAGCCTAAAGTACATTATCTCTAAAGTCCTTTTCCTGCTTTACAATCTGTGAAACCTATGAAATCTAAGTGTCTATAAAGATGCCGCAGTTCATGCCTGCTGGCATGTAGATAGAAAGTAAGGCAATCTTGCGTTGATATTTCTTGGGAATCAAACTTTCTCTTCATCTCTTTTGCTTCTCCCACTGCAAGAACTAGAATTCCAACAGAATCCCTTGGGCAGGGCAGCTGTTTCAGATGCTTAATCTCTTCCTAGATTAACTCTGCCAGGTTCCCTGTCCTGCACCTCATATATTTCTCTCACTGCTCTTATTCAAAAATCCTGGCCCTTCTTACTAAGTGTAACCATCTTATATATTCTTCCTAAGTGTAGCCATCCCAGCATATTCCATATGTTTCTTGTCCTGGGTTTAGGTTAATAAAAGGAGTCCCACAACTGCTTAAGTCTGTTCCTTTTACATACTTTTGATGAGATGAGGTTGGAATGTGGTGCATTGCAACTGTAGTCTGGGGACTCCAAAAATAGTGGCTTTACCTCTTGCTAATTATGTAACTGGGCATCCTTTTTCATGGCCTTCTCATACGTTGTCATGCACCATTATCCAAACCACTCCCAAAGTTTTACCTTTAACCTGACCCCTCTTCATAATTCCAAATTATGTAATTTAGGAGCATTTCATAAGTGCTTTGTAAGAACCCAGCACAAGGCTAAACTCTGAGCTACAATTAAAAAGCAACAACATTTTCTGCCCTCAAGGAGCATGCATTTGTATAATAATAGCTAGCATTTATATAGTGCTTTAAGGTTTGCAACGTAATTTACAAATCATCTCATTTAATCCTCTTAAGAACCTCTGAGATAAGTATTATTGTTATACCCATTTTGCTGAAGAGGAAACGGAGGCTGAAAGAGATTAAGTGATTTGCCCAGGATCTTACAGCTTCTGATGATTTGAACTCTGCTCTCTCCTGACTCCAAGTCTGCTAATCTGTGCACTGAACCACCTAACCGCCTTCTACTGGAGATGTGTACATAAACAGTCACATACAAATTACATATCTACATAGAGTAGGTAGAAATAACCCTAAAAGCTTTGGCAAACCACATCACTTGTCCTAGATTTAGTGCCTTAATTTGTAAAATGAAGATTCCTGCCAGCTCTAAATCTATGGTCCTTTAAATGGGCATAACCTGCCTAAGTTCCTTAATGAGTTCCTAAAAACAGAGTGCTAAGCAAAATGATGTTTGGGGAGGAAGGGAATTCCTTAGAAGCGATGTTAGATCTGCAAAAACATTTTGTTTTTTAAACCAAACTTAGGACTTTGTCAGTTTATGTCAGCTCTGGGTAAAGAGGTAAGGAATCTCTTCTAATGCAGTTGGCATCTCCTCTGTAACTTATGGTATTGGAGTGTTGACGGGAACGCTGATAGGTTAAGTAACTTGCTTAAGGTTATATAGCAACTATATATATATATATATATATATATATATATATATATATATATATATATATATATATATATATATATATATATATATGTGTGTGTGTGTGTGTGTGTGTGTATATATATATGTATACATATATGTATATACACACACACACATACACACATACATACATACGTGTTTGTGTGTGTGTAAAGAGAGAGTTGTAACCAGGTCTTTCTGACTCTAAAGTCAGCCCTCCATTCATTATGTCATGATGAAAGGAAGGAAGGAAAGAAGGAAAGAAGGACGTTTATTTAGTGATTATTATGTGCTAAGCACTGGTGATACCAACTGCAAAATTGAGATAGCCCCTGTACCCTGGGAGCTCATACTTTACCTGAGGGAGATAACACATAAATGAAAGTTTATCTGCAGGGGGGATTAGAAAACCCTGCAAGTCCAAAGGGTTTATCAGCCGAATGGGTGGCCAAAGGCCAAGGTTTTTTCCTTAGGTTACACTCATAAAGATGATGTTAGTGTTAAGAGACTGCAGGGCATAGAAACAGGGCAGATAATATGGCCTAGAGGGAAGCTTAGAGGTAATAGCAGGGTAAATGGTAAGCCTAATGGTCCTCTCTCTCTTCTGAAGGAATGCTGTTAGTGACTTCCATTTCACCCAAGCAGCCCCACCTGGGAAGCAGATGGGTCTGGGGAGGCGGGTAAGGTGATAGCAATGGAATAGACCACTCAGAAGCCTTCTTTTCCTGAACATTTGCATACCTAGGGTATCCCAAACCTCTTAGTAAAGTCTTTCCATTGGACTTCTGGAAAGTCTTCACTAATCTCCCAAGGTCAAAGCAGCCATGGGAGTAGCATTACATAATGTATAATACACTGTCCTATTTCAAATTGGTTGATCCCATAAAAATGTGTTAAATGGCTTTAAATCCATGACACTATGTAAAAGTTAACCAAGGATGGATGGCATAGTCCTTTCTCCCTAGGAGTTTGAAATATAATGCTCATTTCTTCTTTAGTAATTTAGATTTTTTTGAATGTGATATTTGGCAAAGTTTTCAGTAGCCTGAACAGGATATACACGGAGCCAGCAGGACATAGGGTGAAAGGTTGGCAGTGAGGGTTACACAAAGAAACTGAAAATATGTGGTTCTGACTCTTTAATTAATAGAGCTTCCTTTTTTTTTTCCTGACTGGATCATCTGCTTTCAGTGAGAAAATTCTTTCTACCAGTACAAATCTACAACTACTTGTAGTTGACCACTTATAGTCTTACTTTCCTGAGAGGTTAAATGATGTACTCACATAGGGTCACATAGGCAATATATGTCAGAGGTAAGACTTAAATCCCAGTCTTGCTGACTTTTAGACCTGTTCTCTATCCACCAGCACAGAATCACCAAATTTGAAAGCTGATGAAGACCTCAAAGGCCGATGGGTTCCTAACCGAAAGGAATGCTTGCTATAACGTACCCTGTAAATGGTTGCCCAGCTTCTGCTCGAAGGCCTCCCAGAAGTGGGTACCCACCACTTCTGAAGAAAGCCTATTCTACTCTAGAACAATTCTAATTTCAAGAAGGTTTTTTCCTGATGTCAAGTCTAAATTTGCATCTTTGCAACTTCTGCCTATCATTTCTTTTCCCCTCTGGGGCCAAATAAAATGAGTCTAATTATTACTCCACATGACAGCCTTTCAGATATTTGAACATGTCTATCTCATTCCCCCTAAGTCTGGTCTTCTCCAGGGTAAATATCCCCCATTCCTTTAATTGATTCTCATATGACTTGGGCCCAAGGTCATTTACCATACTGGTTGTCATTCTCTGGATACTCTCTAGTGTATCGATTCCTTCTTAAACTGGTGTCCAGAACTGAACACAGTACTTCAGATGAGGTCTGATGAGGGCAGAGTACAGTGGGACAATCACCTCCTTGTTCTTGGATGTGCCCTGTTTCTCTAAATGTAGCCCAAGATTGCATTGGCTCTTTTTGGCAGCCACATCACATTGCTGACTCATCTTAAGCTTTCAGTCCACCAAAACCTACAGATCGTTTTTTAGACAAACTGCTAATTAATCATGCCTACCTTGTCTTGTATTTTTTTTTGTATCCAGTTGTAAGGTTTTACTATTCAATGTCCTATTATTTCCATTGCTATTGAATTTCATCTTATGAGATTTAGCACACTATTCAAGCCTACCGATATCTTTTTACATCCTGATTGTCATCCACTGGATTAGCTATTACTTCCAGTTTTGTGTCATTTACAAATTCTATGACCATGCCATCTTACCTACATCATTGTTAACAATGTAAAACAACTCAAGGCCGAACATAGACCTTTAGTGTATTCCACTGGAGATCTCCTACTGTGTTAAGATTAAATCATTAACAGGTACTCTTTGAGTTGCCTGTAGTTGTATTAGAGTCAACTCTAAGGGAGTAAATGGGGTGGGGGTAGGGGAAAAGGGCAGGATAGAGCCAGTTGTTAAATTTCCAGTGTATTTACACCTTGGAAATTGGCAGTCCCCCTAAATCAGCAGTTGATTTATTGTTTCGTTGATTCTCTAGACTTAAGAAAGTATTGATAATATCAGTTAAACTTAAAAGTGTGTCATATCTATATTTTTGTGTGTGTAGAAGAGATGATTGTTAAATATTTACCAACACACTCCAGAATTATCCAACCAGCTCAGACTCTATCCCACTGTATTATCTTCCTTCTATCTTCTCCACAAGAATAGTATGATATTCTTTAGCAGAAGCTTTACTAAAATTTAGGTGAACTATATTTTTATCTTTCCCCTAGTTAGTAACCCTGTCAAAAATGGAAATAAGATCATTCAAGCATGACATGTTCTTGATGGAGTCATGCCCACTTTTTGTTGTCAGTGCTTCATTTTGTAGATGTTCACTAGCCATCTCATTAGTGATCTATTCTAGAATTTTCTGAGGAATCAAAGTCAAGATTGTTGGCCTATAGTT